TAAATATAACTTTAAAGGAAATGATCTAAATGTTTATAAAATATAAATAAAAAATGCTTATTAAAGGAAGTTCGACAAAATCTGTTAAAAGTGTTTGACTGGAAAAAGGAATAAAGAAAGAAATTAAAATAACTTTGTAATAAGAAAACAATTTTGAGTAAAATGATGGTGTTCTTACACATACATTATCAATAAACTCTTTTCTCTCGCTCTGGTACTTTGAGTTTGAGTGATTTGTATACAATGTGAACACCCTGAATCTTAACATCTAAGGCTTCTATTTATACTAATTCGACTCTAACGGTCTTTCTATGAGATTACGCCATGTTCGACATCTTTTACATGCATACATTCTGGCGCTTCTACGCATCTTCCTGGCGAAAACGCATTAGTTTGAAATTTAAACTTCCGGCTCGAAGCTTTTGAATTCAACTTTGAATTCAATCAACATGACTGCCGAAGTATTCACATATCTTGGAATACTCCTTTCACTTTAAGTTGTCATTCGACATGTCGAATCATAAAAATGAGCTTTATAAAATAACCTTATAAGGTCAAATTTCATGTTATTTTTTAAAATATGATCTTCTCAAATCAACTTTCTTTTTTTTTATCAAATGTCAAAATCTTCAGCTAGCAGTCTTGTAGTTAGTATTTGTTAGTTTTTTTTGGATTCTAGAACTCTTGAAATCTTAAAGAATAGTGACATCAATATTATCATATAAGAAGAAAATTAACTTGTTTATGAAAATATATTATTTTGGTGAGACAAAAATAGACTTGTTTGTCTCTTCTGTAAAGGATAAAAACATTATTACTTCAAATGTATAAGGATTGTTTAGATCTTTTAAATTTGAATTTGAAAATCTAAAGTGTTTTGTATGGGTCTTTTGATAAGGCTTGTTCCTTTTTGTATGTGACAAATGAAATAAGGACTTGTTGCTTTTTATTTTTACTTGAAAGTTGGAAATTAAAACTAACTTGTGAGTATTTATTTTGCAGACTTAGCAGCGGAATCGAGCTTGCATTTTTGTGACAAGTTCTCCTATCCTTTGTAAATCATGGATTAATATATTTCTTGAACTATATTGTTTGTTATTGTAGATTCTTCAAATGTTCAAATTGATTTGGTTTATTCTTCTCAACTTAAGAAATAAAATTTTCTGGATTTTGAGTTTCTATATCTTAAAAGTATTCCATAATTCTCTCAATAAAATTTCAGATTTACTTGGCACATTTTATGCAATTGTGTTTTCTTATTTTTCTATCCAAACTTTCTTTCAACTGAATTCTATACTAAATTATATGCATCTGCTTTATTGCTTTAATTTACATAATTATACAACTTTTATTAAAAACAATTGTGCAACAACTTGATAACAAGTTGATTATTTTCATAACATTAAACTACATTGAAGGCAATTTTTTTAATACAATATAAATTTTATAAATATATTATTTTAATCATTAGTCAACGTTCTTAAGTTTGTTCTTAAGTTGATTATCTTCATTGTTTTTTTTTTCAAGTACACTTCATTAGTTACAACTTCCTATTATTGTTAATACTTTGTTTAAGTGCTCTTAACTAATTATAAAATATAAATTATATCCCATTTTAGGTTGATATTCTTTCCCTTTCAAAAAAAGCCGTATTTAGATAATTGATGATAAGAGTAACCTTTTCTTTGTCAATAGTGGTTATAATGTTGGAAACTGTGATTGTTGTATTCATGAATATGAACCAAAAATCTTTATCAATTGTGGGCTGCTTTAATGCATGGCCACGTGTTGTTAGTTTAAAATTTTTTGTCGTTTAAGTCTTTTACTTAATCTTCTTTCCATTTTGATGTTGATACTAAGCAAAATGACATAGAAATGTTACCATCAACAAAAAGATGAAAGAATGAAACTATTGTATACGTGAGATGCATTAGAAAACACTATGAAAATCTACTCTTTTCTGGTTTAAGATAGGCTTAACATCACTCTCATGAGTTTCTAGTCAAATTTTCATCATTTTTATGTTTGAATGGAAAGTAACCATAATTGTATATATATGTTACAACAAAAATAGTATTTAATTAGTAGTGCATGAAATGAATTAGATTTTTCAAAACTATGAAATTAATTGTTAGAAGAGTTATTAGGAGCATTGATATAAAGTTGAGGAGAATACAACTTTGTGAGAGACACACTATTTTTACATCTAAAATCTTAAGGTGATAGGTGAGTGGATTCTCACACTTATATATGTTTAAATCTCCACATTCATATCCAATGTGAGACTATTTTCTCACTTACTCACACTTGCTATATTATTTCAACACTTCTCCTCAAGTGTGAGTCCACAATGCTCTCTCACTTATAACACCATTGACATCTTGCAACGAAACACCACTTTCTGGACACATTATGATACAAGTTCCTTCCAGTCTCTTTCTCGAACCAAAGTCTCTGATACTATGTTGGAGAGAGTTACTAGGAGCGTTGATACAAAGTTGAGGAGTATACACATTTGTGAGAGACACACCATGTACCGTCATTGACATCTTGCAATGAGACACCACTTCTTTTGTCCACCTAAAACTTTAAGGTGATAGTTGAGTGAGTTCTCCCACTTATATATGCTTAAGTCTCCGCATTCATATCCAATGTGAAATTATTTCCTCATTTACTCACATTTACTATATCATTTCAACATTAATGAGTTTTTAATCTTATCATATCTCAGATGATTGTGCATCATGTCATGGCCTTCAATGAAAATTATTTCGGTTTGATTAATATTGCATGGCCTTTCCTGAAAATTATTCTAGTTTGATTAGTATTGCATTGACCGTATATATCAATGAGGTTTGTTTATAGTACAATTCTATCTGAAAATCGAATTGAATCAATCTAAATTAAAGTCAAAAGTCATTTAAGTTAAAATAAACTATTTTAATTTATCAAGAACTCAACTGACTAAAATTATTGATTTGACATATCAATTAACAATTTCAAATTATACTAAATTATTATTACATATGTCTTTAAATATAAGACTTCATTGAATAAATTACAGAAATTAAGAAAGTTTGTTAGAATAATAAATTTATTAACTATTTTGTATAGTTTTACAAATTAATCTTTAGAGGAGAGAAATAGTTAATGTGTATGTAACTGTATTCATTACATATTATAGAAAAATATGTAATATAATTAAGGGTATGTTAAAAAAAATAATTAATATATTTTAAAAATTGAAGAAGATCTAAGATCTTATAATTAAGGACGAAAATAGTATAAAACAATTTTTCTCAAATAGAACAATTTATAATTTTCTCAAATCGAACAATTTATTAAATATATAAATGATTTTTTTAATAAAATGTTTTTATTTCAGTTTCAGTTTCAATTCGTTAGGTTTTAATTTCAATTTAATTTATTTATCATCTGATTTAGTTTAAGTTAATTTATTTAATATATGTTCGTTTGACACTATTCTGATATGTTAATTTCAATTCGATTCAGATTAATAATTCAATTCGATTTTACTTTTTTTAACTGTCGTATAGATCACTATGAAATCAAATTTATAATTATACTTAGAGGAGTTTAGTTTGTCCTATAGTGTTGCATCTGTCACATTTCATAATCTAGAGCATGCATAAACTTAGATACTTTTGGCCTAAAAGCAAGATGCTTTTGTATTGAATGGAAGTTTATGATTGACTTAACTTTCTTAGTACTTAATTTATTTTTGTTTCGAGTCTAACTATCGACACGTAGCAGAATCTCACATATCTATTTTAGGTTGTTTTTTCTCTAGATTTATCCATGGATCTTTAGAAGATTACATTTAAAGTTGAACAATAAGCATGTTAGAATTGATTTATTTAAACTTATCTATATACATAAATATTTGTAAGATTATTTAAAAGAATTTATATGTATCATAAGCGCTTAACTAGTGGTGGAACAATTTCGGAGACATTGGAACTGCAAATTGTTAGTAATGTAAAACCTCCATGAGACATTGATTTGATTTCTTTAAATAAAAAATTCATATAGTTTGTAATGGATTAGAGTGTGTAAAATTCAAATTTATAAACCATTGCAAATGAAGTTCATGTGTATTATTAGAGGCTAAGCAATAGTAACGTTCCACTCCCTCCAATAAAATTGTCCCAATAATGGTAACTCAAGTGGTTTTTTTTTATTTTTTAATAAAAATTTTGGTATCCAACCTTTCAGATGATCAATCCCACTATCTATTATGAGAGTCCCGTTTAAAAAGCAGAGTAAAATTTTATATAAATTGATCTAGTACAAAAATTGTTATTCCCTCCATTTCTTTTTAAGTGTCGTTTTAGAAGAATTTTTTTGTTTCTATTTAAGTGTCGTTTTTATAGTTTAATATTGTCATTTGTCAATTATATCCCTACTTTCTCAATAACTTCACTTCACATTTTTCATAAAATTAATTATTTTCTCAATTAGTTATTGGAAAAAGAGAGATGGTGTATGATTGAATTTATTTGGAAAGAGAAAATAAATGAGTATAATAGGAAAAATAACTCTAATAATCCATTATCTTGGTTGAAGAGCTTTATGTTAAAATGACACTTAAAAAGAAACTGAGGGAGTAGTACTTAATATAATTCAAATTTAAAACATTAAGTAGAGCACACTTTCAATATTCAAATCTTTACCGTTAGACTCAAACCTTGAAAATTAACTCAAGTAACTTGATAATATGATATGATAACGTATGTCTCTATGATACACTGTACTGCAAAATTTAGCACTCTTCGAGTGAGTGTCGACTCCTTAAGAATAAAGAAAGGAAAGAAGAAAGAAATTGAGAGGGGAGGAAGAATGTTGCTATCATTCGCATAACGAAAATGGTTCAACCATACAACATATATGTTTCACTTGGCATAACAACTTGCGTAAAAAAAGGAAAAGAAAATAACATAATAAAATTTAGTGTAGCTGACACCACCAAAGAATTTGCACTACTTGCACACATAATCCTTCATCCAGTCTGGTTTCTTTGATTGCCTCTTTTCCACTATTGGACTCACGTCTACATCCTCATTGTTGGGCCTTTCCTCATTATGCATTGGGTCTGTTATTGATGGGCTCGTATCATTTCTCTCCTCATCAACACTCACCTTGTCCTCAAGGTGGAAATCCCGATAGCAAGCTTGAAAAGAAGCCACTTCCTCCCACGAAGCTTCGTCAATTGGAGAGCCCATCCACTGGACGAGCAGTTATGGACGAGCAGTTTGCAAGGAGCTGTGAAAACTAGTGATGTACTGAAATTCTACCTAGGGAAGAAACAAAACCCACGAAGAAGGTTTCTCTTGAGTAAAAGCACGAAGGTACTGCTCCAGCCCTCGATTAACCACCTTTGACTATCCTTCAGTTTGAGGATGGTATGCACTGGTCAAAGCCAATTCAGTGCCACTCAATTTAAATAACTTGCGCCAAAAATTACTAAGGAACACTGGGTCACGATCTGAAATAATAGAACAAGGAAAGCCATGGTGACAAATAACTAATGAGATAAATAATTCAGCTACCTTAGAAGTTGTGAAGGACCCGAGAAGAGCGCTAAAATGAGCTGATTTGGATAGGCGATCTACAACAACAAAGATAACAGTGGATCCATTAGCCGGAGGAAGACACGTAATAAAATCCATGGTGATATCCTCCCAAACTTCCTCCAGAATTGGAAGAGGTTGGGGTAAACCGGTTGGAACTTGAGTGGAGTTTTTTATTTGTTGACAAATTAGACAAGCGGCCACAAAGTTTTCTACTGCCTTGCACATACCTGTCCAGAAAAAATTTACAGCAAGTTGAGCAACTGTTCGCTTCCCCCCAGCATGACCACCACTTGGTGTATCATGAAATTCACTGATAACCAAGTTACATAAGGGGGGTTGTGGATTTAAAACATAACGGTCATCTTTGAGAAGTAATCCATTCACAATAGTATAAGGAGATACCAAAGTACCTTGTAAGTTTTGATTGTGAAACTCAAGTATAAAAGAATCAGAGGCATTTTCTTTTTTTAATTGAGATACAATGCCAAAAGTTGGGGAAGATACCACGGTCCACAGAGCATATTGTTTCACAATGTGATCTTTGGTAGACCACTATGTAGGCACACGTGATAAAGCATCGGTAACTTTGTTGGAAGCTCCGATTTTGTACTCAATGTGAAATTGAAAACCCAATAATTTCCGCACATAGGCCTGCTGAGTCGGTGTTTGAATAACCTATTGTAACAACTCCTTAATGCTTTTATGGTCTGTCTGAATAATAAAGAAATGTCCCAAGAGATATTTACGCCACTTGAGAACGGCCTCTGTGATAGCACGAATCTCTTTGGTATAAGTCGAAGCTTCCTATAATTTCGGACCCAATTTCATGCTAAAAAATGCAAGAGGATGATTGTCTTGCATTAGAACTGCACCAATTCCCACATTGGACGCATCCGTTTCAATGATGAATTCTTTGGAAAAATCAGAAAGGCTAAGGATCGGGGCAGCCATTATCGCTTGCTTTAGGGCCAGGAAAGCAATGGTAGCCTCCTCAAACCAAAAATAAGAATTATGACGCAACAGGTTAGCCAATGGTGCCACAATACTAGCATAATGAGCAATAAAACGTCGGTAGTAACCTGTGAGTCCCAAAAATACGTGGAGTTGATTGAAAGAAACAAAGAGAGGCCACTTTTCCATGGCCTCTAGTTTACTTGGATCAGTATGCACACCTTTGGAAGAGACTATATGACCCAAATATTCAATTGATTCTTGACAAAATAGACACTTAGAAAGTTTGACATAAAAGCCATTATTTTGTAAACAAGTAAGCACCAATTCCAAATGTTTGAAATGATCATCGAGAGAGGAGCTATATATGAGGATATCATAAAAAAAACAATGACAAACCATCATAGAAACTGTGAAAACAGTTGATTCATGGTAGCTTGAAATGTTGATGGAGCATTCATCAAACCAAAATGCATGACCAAAAACTCAAAGTGGCCATCATGTGTGCGAAATGTTGTTTTATATGTGTCATGATTGTTCACACGAATATGATGGCACCCTTCTCGTAAATCCAATTTGGAAAACATTTTAGCTCCCCCAAGTTCATTAAAGAGCTCATCAATCGTGGGAATTGGAAATTTATCCTTGATTGTAGCTGCATTCAATGCCCGATCATCCACACCAAACCTCCAACTTCCATCTTTTTTTCGAACCTATAACATCGGAGAAGAAAAATGACTGTGACTTGGAGTAGTAGTGCCCTAATCAAGCATTTCATTGACCAATTTCTCCATTTCAGCCTTTTGGAATTGCGAATAATGGTAAGGTCTAATGTTAATAGGTTTTGACCCTTCAATCAAGTGAATGTGGTGGTCAACCAATCGATGTGGAGGTAATCATATGGGTTGGTTGAATATAGCAACAAAACATTGGAGCATGTCTATAAATGGGATAGATAAATCACCAGGAAACAACAAATCTAACTCAGAACTTGGGGCCAAAGATAAGTGAGTAATTACAAAGAACTCAGCAATGTTCGCCTTTTGAACTAATGCTTATAAGCGATGAAGAGAAATTTATTGAGAAGCCAAGCTAGTGTCACCAACTAGAGTTACAGGAGTACTATTCCACATAAATTCCATAGTAAGAGCAGAGTAGTCATGAGATACTTTGCCTAAGGATTGTAACCAAAGAATCCCAAAACTACATCAGGACCTTCAATTGCTAACAGAAACATGTCCACAGCAAAAGTAATACCATGCACTATCAGTGGGGCATTTTTGCAACAATATTGACACAACAAAAAGGTGCCACAACCCGTAGCAACACGGAATCGCAGAAAAGGTGTCATGACTAATCCCAAATGTTCCACCAACGCCAGTTTAATGAAGTTATGTATGCTCCCACTATCAATTAAAATTGGAAAAGTACTGTGGTGGTACGAACCCAAGATACAAAGGGATCTACCTTGTATTTGAATGGCAAGCGCATGTATACTAGAGACCACACCGAAAATATCCTATGCAGTGTCTTCAGCATCTGATGGTGGCTCATCATCATCCCCAAGAAGCAAAGGGATGCGACTCCAAAAATGGTGAGAAGGGTTCCACTTCTTTTCGCATTTGAAACATAGTCCTTTGGAACGATGATCACTGAGTTCAGGCGACAGAAGGTTGTGAATGTTTGTCATGGAATTGGGAGTGGGAAGTAACAGTGGAAGGCTATTCGTTTTCGGGTCGGGTGTGGGAATTTGTAAGATTATTTAAAAGAATTTATATGTATCATAAGCATGATACTTTATATACTTGTGACTTTAACTAGTGGTGGATCAATTTCGGAGACATTGGAACTGCAAATTGTTAGTAATGTAAAACCTCCATGAGACATTGGTTTGATTTCTTTAAAAAAAATCATATAGTTTGTAATGGATTAGAGTGTGTAAAATTCAAATTTCTAAACCATTGCAAATGAAGTTCATGTGTATTATTAAAGGCTAAGCATAGTAACATTCAACTCTCTCCAATAAAATTGTCCCAATAATGGTAACTCGAGTGATTTTCTTTTGGCTTTTTAATAAAAAAATTGGTATCCAACCTTTCAATTGACTAAATATAGATGATCAATCCTACTATCTACTAATGAGAGTTCCGTTTAAAAAGCAGAGTAAAATTCTATATAGATTAATCTAATACAAAAATTATTAGCACTTAATATAATTTAAATTTAAAACATTAAGTAGAACATATTCTCAATATTCAAATCTTTATCGCTAGACTTAAACCTTGAAAATTAACTCAAGTAACTTCATAATATGATCTGATAACATATGTCTCTATGATACACTGTACTGCAAAATTTAGCACTCTTCGAGTGAGTGTCGACTCCTTAAGAATAAAGAAAGGAAAGAAGAAAGAAATTGAGAGGGGAGGAAGAACGTTCCTATCATTCGCATAACCGAAAATGGTTCAACCTTACAACATATATGCTCCACTTGACATAACAACTTGCGTAAAAAAGGGAAAAGAAAATAACATAATAAAATTTAGTGTAACTGACATCAGCAAGGAATTTCCACTACTTGCACACATAATCCTTCATTCAGCCTGGTTTCTTTGATTGCCTCTTTTCCACTATTGGACTCATGTCTACATCCTCATTGTTGGGCCTTTCCTCAATATGCATTGGGCCTGTTATTGATGGGCTCGTATAATTTCTCTCTCCATCAACACTCACCTTGTTCTCAAGGTGGAAATCTTGATAGCAAGCTTGAAAAGAAGCCACTTCCTCCCACGAAGCTTCGTCAACTGAAGAGCCCATCCATTGGACGAGCAGTTGTGGACAAGGCTTCCTCTGAATTAGAACAGTTCGATAGGCCAAAATTTTCACTGGTTGATTATCAAAGCTCTCAGGATGTAAATCTTAATACGGAGGGTTTTCGTGACCATATAAAGGTTTAAGAGTAGAAATGTGGAATACCAAATGTATGTGACTTTCCGGAGGTAATTGTAGCTTCTATGCCACAGACCAATTCATTCAAGTATCTGATAAGGACCATAATACTTCTTAGAGAGCTTTTGTTGATGATGGAGACGGACTGATAATTGGCGATAAGGTCGAAGGCGAACTAGAACCTTATCACCCACATCGAATAATAAACCCCAATGCTGTTAATTGACTTTTTGAGTCATGCGATTTTGAGCTTGTAATTAGTTAGCCTTGAAACTACGTAAGAGTTTATCCCGAGTAGTCAAAGCTTCATACAAGACTGAAATAGATGTGGATCCACGCATGTAAGCGGGGATGGTGGGAGGCTTGTGACCATAAAGAGCTTCTAACAGAGACATTTTCAAGGAGCTGTGAAAACTAGTGTTATAGTGAAATTCTGCCCAAGGAAGAAACAAAACCCACGAAGAAGGTTTTTCTTGAGTAAAAGCATGAAGGTACTGCTTCAGCCCTCGATTAACCACCTCTGACTGTCCGTCAGTTTGAGGATGGTATGCACTGATCATAGCCAATTCAGTGTCACTCAATTCAAATAACTTGTGCCAAAAATTACTAAGGAACACTGGGCCACGATCCGAAATAATAGAACGAGGAAAGCCATGGTGACAGACAACTAATGAGATAAATAATGCAGCTATCTTAGAAGTTGTAAAGGACCCGAGAAGAGCACTAAAATGAGATGATTTGGATAGGCGATCCACAACAACAAAGATAATAGTGGATCCATTAGCCGGAGGAAGACCCGTAATAAACTCCATGGTGATATCCTCCCAAACTGCTGTTAGAACATAATTTGGTTCTACATCCCAACAAGAGTTTTGATGATAACAAACACATGATATAAAGAACAAATATGCTCGCTAATAAAAAGTATGTTTACATGCAGGAAGTTCTGATGTGAAAAAGATGTTCTAATGATATTCGAAGTTCTTCCTGAACATCACCAAAAGTTCTGATTATGCGAGCACAGAAGCTGAGAGGACAATGAAAGATTCAGACGCATCAAATATGCATGACACGCTTATATGAAGAAGTTTTGTTTGAACTTCTGAATGCACCAGCGCTGCAAAACATAATCTCTGATACTCTGATGTGCAAAATTCTGATCAAGCTGTAAAGGAATCTCAACGGTAACATTCATCCTCTGATGTGAGAATCTCTGAAGTGTTACAACTCCGTCAATACAAGATCATAAGTAACGGCTACAAACAGAGAAGGATCTCCTAATTTGGAAAGCTCATTAACATGTGTTATAGACATACCAAAAGTATCTTCTTATGTCACTATTGCAAGGCCTATATAAAGAAGACTAGAAGAAGATTTCAAAAGGATGAACAACTACGCACAAAATGTGAAAAGTTAGTAAAGCTACAAACATTCTTCATCTTCATCAATTAAATATTAAACTGTTTAATATATCACAAGTTTGTGATACTGTTTATTTAGAAACATCTTTGTACACTTTTATACAATTATCTGTTTAGTGAATTTCCTTGAGAAAATCGGGTTGTGGTTTTGGACTCAAGAAGACTTTAACAGTTGTTAAAGTAGATTTGTAATCAAGTTTGATTAGTGAATTAAGTCCTCGTTGGAGAGAGGCGAAATCACCTTGACGGGTGGACTGGAGGTAGTTTGAGATCAAACGAACCAGGATAAAAATACTGTGTCATAGCGCATTTGATTTTAAGTTTCAATTCAACCCCCCCTTCTTGTGTTTTTTCACTTCTTCAATTGGTATTAGAGCTCCTGAATCTGGGTGCAAACACTTAACCGTGTCAGATAAAGATCTAAGGGAGAAAAACACTATGATGGTAACAAGTCAGAACATCAGTAGCAGCCCTCTAATATTTGACGGTGAAAATTTTGACTACTGGAAGGATATGATCAGAAGTATCTTCCTAGCCTATGACGCTGACCTTTGGGATGTGGTAACTGATGGATACACACACCCAGTTGATGGAAGTGGTCAGAAGATAGACAAAAAAATGATGTCTAACCAACAAAAGTATGATTTCAGAAACCACCACAAGGCCAGAACAATACTCCTCAGTGCTATCTCATACTCAGAATATAAGAAGATCACAAATAGAGAAACAACTAAGAACATGTTTGATTCTGTGAGAATGAAGCATGAAGGAAACTTGCAAGTTAAAGAAACCAAAGCCCTTGCGCTCATTCACAAGTAT